TCAGTGACATCTATCTAGGGGTCAGTGACATCTATCTAGGGGTCAGTGATATCCAGCTGTCAATGACATCTATCTAGGGGTCAGTGACATCTATCTAGGGGTCAGTGACATCTATCTAGGGTTCAGTGACATCTATCTAGGGGTCAGTCACATCTATCTAGGGGTCAGTGACATCTATCTAGCGGTCAGTGACATCCAGCGGTCAGTGACATCTATCTAGGGGTCAGTGACATCTATCTAGGGGTCAGTGACATCTATCTAGCGGTCAGTGACATCTATCTAGCGGTCAGTGACATCCAGCGGTCAGTGACATCTATCTAGGGGTCAGTGACATCTATCTAGGGGTCAGTGACATCTATCTAGCGGTCAGTGACATCTATCTAGGGGTCAGTGACATCTATCTAGGGGTCAGTGACATCTATCTAGGGGTCAGTGACATCTATCTAGGGGTCAGTGACATCTATCTAGGGGTCAGTGACATCCAGCGGTCAGTGACATCTATCTAAAGGTCAGTGACATCTATCTAGGGGTCAGTGACATCTATCTAGGGGTCAGTGACATCTATCTAGGGGTCAGTGACATCTATCTAGGGGTCAGTGACATCTATCTAGGGGTCAGTGACATCTATCTAGGGTTCAGTGACATCTATCTAGGGGTCAGTGACATCTATCTAGGGGTCAGTGACATCTATCTAGGGGTCAGTGACATCTATCTAGGGGTCAGTGACATCTATCTAGGGGTCAGTGACATCTATCTAGGGGTCAGTGACATCTATCTAGGGGTCAGTGACATCTATCTAGGGGTCAGTGACATCTAACAGTCAGTCTGTGGTCCCATACTTGGGTCTGTATGTCCATATGTTCGCCTGTGTCTGCTGTAAAGACCACTCGAACACAAGGTCACACAAGGTCACGACTGCTGGTCTTAAAACCAATCAGAATCGAAGTGACCTTATAGGTCAGCGCTTTCACACCTGACAGGTGCGTGCCAGGTGCTTGGAGGCTACAGACTAGGTGCTAAAGTGGGTGCAGACTAGGTGCTAAAGTGGGTGCAGACTAGGTGCTAAAGTGGGTGCAGACTAGGTGCTAAAGTGGGTGCAGAGTAGGTGCTAAAGTGGGTGCAGACTAGGTGCTAAGGTGGGTGCAGACTAGGTGCTAAAGTGGGTGCAGACTATGTGATAAAGTAGGTGCATACTAGGGCTAAGGGGGCGCTTCTAGGCCTTGACTGCTTATGCGCTTTATAAACCTAAAAGTACCGCGCTTTTTCTTCCAGTAAAAGTTGATGTTCTAATGACGTGTTGTTTTCGGAGATAAAGGTCAAGGTCGATTCGTGTTTTCAAAGAAACGAATTGTTCAAATTAGTTATATGGATATTTCCTGATCGATAAATTATGCAATGTGTCTTAATGCGTGAATGACACACGCACTAAATTTGTCTGAATTATTCTGTGAATCCACTCCGTTCGTGACTGAATTATTCTGTGAATTCACACATCATAAATCCCTCTCCCCCACAGATCCACTATATCTATAATATATTCTATAATATAATTTATAATATAATATATATTATAATCTATAATCTATAATATAAGCCGCCAGTGTCTTTTCGCACTTTCTCGCACTATACCGAAGCACGGGTATAAGCTGGTCTATAATATAAGCGGCCAGGTAGTGTGTCAGTCATTCCGTCATCGTTATAGATTTTAGAACCATAAAAGTAAACACCACAGGCCGTGCATTTTACTTGCGTCGCATTGTCTTATTAGAATTGCTTGAGTAGGGTCTATATATTTAAGGACTTGAATTTTTTTATTGTTGGCAGTCTTTACTTTTTCGCATGCGCCAACAAAAGAACACGAAGAAAATATTCAATACACGCACATTGGTAAAACGTATTAAACGGATCAATGTCAAAAAATATTTTCACTTAGACTCCTAGAAAATTTTATATAAACAGTGTCAAAAGAAACTAATTAGTAAAAATGTTTAATAATTAAGTAATTCAACTGATGCTAAATATTGCTATTTAAGTAAAACAAATTTGCGAGGATGATAGGATTTTTGTTGGAATACACGGCCGTTTGTTTGATAAAGACATTGGAAAAAGCGTTTGAGTTTGGGTTTGTGTTTGAAATTCAGTTTGTGTTTTATGTTTGTGTTTTTGTGCATTTGCGTTTGCGTTTGTGTCTGAGTTTGCTTTTTCGTTTGTGTTTGCATGTTGCGTTTGCATGTGTGTTTGCGTTTAGATTTGTGCTTGCGTTTGTGTTTGCGTTTTCGTTTGTTTTCTTTCGTGTTTGCGATTGTGTTTGCGTTGTTTTTGTGTGTTTGATTTTCTTTATAGTTATTTAAATAGTAGTGTATAATTTATTTTTTACTTTTTAGTGTATTATTACATAAAAGCTTGTTATTAAAACGTTTTTTGGGGAATTTAAAAAACAAATTCAATGATCTCTTAAAATAACAATTTTTTGTTCGGCGATGATTCTAATAGCATAGCGGGTTGGGGGATGAGGGCAAATTGCGAGGACGCTCATAAGGGCATTTTTATACACGGCCGTTTGTTTGATAAAGCCATTTGATAAAGCGATTGCGATTGTGTTTGCGTTTGTGTTCTCTTTTGTGTTTGCATTTGTGTGTTGCGTTTGTGTTTGGTTTTATTCTTTTCCCAAGTTGGTACATTTTTAAAAACTGTGGCGAAGCACGGGTATGCAGCTAGTGTGGTAACAGCACCTGCACCTCAAGGATGGGATTGTGAATGCTCTGAAATAAAACGTGGATTGGATGAAGATTTACGTCTAAACATAAAGACGTTGTGTGCAGCCCAGTTGACGTTGGCCTTGGTCCAGTAAATCTCCAATTTCTGAGGTAAAAAACAACAACGCAATGACCGCCATTCATTTACAAACACTCTGGGTAATGAGGGAAAAATCAAACCGGAACTAGATCTATTTTTAGCTACAGCTCCAAACAATCGATGAGCAGTTGTTGTGAAAACATTCTGGTTAGTCTAAATACCGGGATTAAATTAGTTGACCAAAACAGAAGCACGAGGTGACAAGATGAAAGCTGGCGCCTGATTGGCTAATGAAAAAAAATGGAGTCTAGTTAAGGGAGGCGATTGCTTGGTCATCTGTGTACGTGTGAATGAACGTGTGGTGACCTTGTCGTTGGTGTTTCTGGTCGGCTAAATGCTGACGTCACGTAACAGAACCATCATTGTGACGTCACCGACTTTGACGTCATCAGAAATCATAGATAGAAATGCTATTTACCCTTTTTTAATCAATCGTGCTGCTAGTCGAATAGTAAATTAATGCCAGCTCTACTTCACCTGTACCTAGCAGTAAACGGTACAGCTGCTCCACTGTGCACGAGAGAAATGGAGCCGTGGGTCAACCGTTTTATCCGGCAAACAGTTCAAGGATGACGTAATGTCCAAACAGGAAGTCCAAGGTTGGGCCAGTCCAGCTGTGGCGAGCGACTAGTCACGTGACCCCCCCCCCCCTCCAAACACCCCGCACTAATTGTTGACGCGGTGTCAGCTACAGCGACGCAGACGGTTCAGACCGTTAAAAACACATTATTTGTTTTCGTTTACATATCAGCTGGGTTCTATAAATAGTATCGTGACGTCACCACATTGTTGAAAACGAATTTCCGGTTTGGTAGCTTAAAGCACCAACCCATAAAAGCATATCAGACCCCACCAACCCATAAAAGCATATCAGTCCCCACCAACCCATACAAATATATCAGTCCCCACCAACCCATAAAAGCATATCAGTCCCCACCAACCCATAAAAACATATCAGACCCCACCAACCCATAAAAGCATATCAGTCCCCACCATCCCATAAAAACATATCAGTCCTCACCAACCCATACAAACATATCAGTCCCCACCAACCCATACAAACATATCAGTCCCCACCAACCCATTTTAAACTATCCGTATCTTCCAGATAAAAAGTTCCTGTGTGTAAGTTTAAAAAGATTTCAAGGCGCCAATATCTTATCGCTGCTGCTAAAACTGTCGTCTGGGCCGGCAGAAGACGAATACTCACGTGAGCTGTGACTCAATCAGGGCAATACAACTTTTTCAACCGTGGGATAAAAGGTGACCAGCATCATCTAAAGCCCCATTTTAGGCGGGCGGGATGTTTTCTGTCACGTTCGTGTGATGTTTAGTGTCACGTAGGTCAGCTGGGGTGGAGGGACAACAAACTGTGGGGGAGGGGGGGGACGACAACAAGCTGTTTACGAAACAAAATTAATGGCTCGCTTGCTCGCCATCAGCTCAAGTTAAATTGGCTTTAAAATGTAATCATTTGTTTTAATGCGAGTACTTAGAGCGGCCATGACAAAATACACGTGCAAGCATTTAGGCGAGTAACATTGATATACTCATGTCAAGGTCACCTTGTACACAGCTATATGTCAAGGTCACCTTGTACACAGCTATATGTCAAGGTCACCTTGTACACAGCTATATGTCATGTTCACCTTGTACACAGCTATATGTCATGTTCACCTTGTACACAGCTATATGTCATGTTCACCTTGTACACAGCTATATGTCATGTTCACCTTGTACACAGATATATGTCATGTTCACCTTGTACACAGCTATATGTCATGTTCACCTTGTACACAGCTATATGTCATGTTCACCTTGTACACAGCTATATGTCATATTCACCTTGTACACAGCTATATGTCATGTTCACCTTGTACACAGCTATATGTCATGTTCGTATCATTTGAGGATCAGATTGTACACGTCATGACGTATGGAGCTATAGAAGCTAATTATAGAAAGCCTAATACGACCACGATAAAGCGAATCCTCCTCGATCAGCTGCACCGACCACCCCGACCCCCAACTCTAGTCATTTAGGTACCAACATTAGCCGTACCCACCCTCCCTGTGACAATACCCACCCACCCCGGTATGACGTCATAAGACCATCCACACATCAAGTGAAGTAACACCTCGTGGACGGTCCACTAGACTTTATTCAAACACCCGTGGTCTTTGCTGCTGACCACTGGCTAGCTACAGTTGACCAGTGGACTTTCTGATCAGCTGACCTCTTCCACTAGCACTGACCAACATGGCTGACCTTCAAATTTAGATTTTTCCTGGAAATAAAAAAGTTGAGTTTTTTAAAATAAAATTTTAGCCATTTTTTTTTTATCAATGAAGAGGTCAGAGTGACCCAATAGTGATACACATCAACCCGAATATCCGGTGCCCCCCGGAAATTTTAAACTGGTACTAACTAGTTGGCGTATGGGTTTTTTCTTTTCAATGCCATGCCCTCCCCCCTCCCCCCTGTAGCACCCACCCAAAATACAATAAGCCTTCAAAAATTTGATCCTAACCCCATTTTAAAAATTTAAACATTCGTTTCCAAACTCTTAACTAAAGAATGTTTCATTATTTATTTTTATCACGTTTAAAAGTTATGTAAGTTTTTTAAATATCTTTAAATATTTTTTTAGTAATTACTAGACTACCTGTTATCCTTGGATAACATTATTTGATGACCTCCTTAACTGGCTCATTGCAACATTTCTCATTCATCTATTATATTTTTATTCTATCGCATTTTGTATTATAACTATATATTATTATTTCTTTATTCCAAATCTTTGAATGCTATGTTACTGCTCCTATTTACTACTCCATTGCTTTTTAGTACAATGCTGTTATTATGTTGTTGTTGTTTTTTAAACGGCCAATGTCAAAAAGGCCTCCGTGACTCAGTCTTTGCTTGAAATTGTGTAAACATTCGTCACTAGGTCGCTCACGTGACTGATCATGTGACCTACTTAGTGACCTAGTTATATCCCTCTTTGCTTTTGAATTGTTATCTTAATATTCAATTTTCAAACAAATTTTAACATCTAATTAACTTAATGTTCAAACAAATTTTAACATCTAATTAACTTAATGTTCAAACAAATTTTAACATCTAATTAACTTAATGTTCAAACACATTTTAACATCTAATTAACTTAATGTTCAAACACATTTTAACATCTAATTAACTTAATGTTCAAACACATTTTAACATCTAATTAACTTAATGTTCAAACAAATTTTAACATCTAATTAACTTAATGTTCAAACAAATTTTAACATCTAATTAACTTAATGTTCAAACAAATTTTAACATCTAATTAACTTAATGTTCAAACAAATTTTAACATCTAATTAACTTAATGTTCAAACAAATTTTAACATCTAATTAACTTAATGTTCAAACAAATTTTAACATCTAATTAACTTAATGTTCAAACAAATTTTAACATCTAATTAACTTAATGACCATGGCATTCAAACCTACAGGTGTCACATCACAAGTTTTTAAATGTATTATCTCCACCTGTTTATCTAATCAGTTTTCTCTGGTCCAATTCAGCTGGCTTTAAAAATGGGGAAAACTAGTTAAATGGGCTTTAACAATGGGATCAAACTTACTCCACGGCTGGTCTCACCCAACCAACAAGACACCCCACCCACATGATACCCCACCCACATGATACCCCACCCACATGATGCCCCACCCACATGATACCCCACCCACATGATGCCCCACCCACATGACACCACACCGACATTACACCCCCACATGACACCCCACACACATGACACCCTACCCACAAGACACCCCACCCACATGATACCCCACCCACATGATACCCCACCCACATGATGCTCCACCCACATGATACCCCACCCACATGATGCCCCACCCACATGATACCCCACCCACATGATACCCCACCCACATGATACCCCACCCACATGATACCCCACCCACATGATGCCCCACCCACATGATACCCCACCCGCGTGACACCCCCACATGACACCCCACCCACATGATACCCCCATATGATACCCCACCCACATGATACCCCACCCACATGATGCTCCACCCACATGATACCCCACCCACATGATGCCCCACCCACATGACACCCCACCCACATGACACCACACCGACATTACACCCCCACATGACACCCCACACACATGACACCCTACCCACATGACACCCCACCCACATGACACCCCACCCGTATTATACCCCACCCACATGAAACCCCTCATGACACCCCACCCGCGTGACACCCCCACATGACACCCCACCCACATGACACCCCACCCACATGACACCCCCCACGTGACACCACCACAAGACACCCCCCACATTACACCCCACCCACATGACACCCCCACATGACACCCCACCCACAAGACACCCCACCCACAAGACACCCCCACATGACACCCCACCCACATGACACCCCCATCATACCCACCATGACACCCCCCCACATTACACCCCACCCACATGACACCCCCATATGATACCCCACCCACATGAAACCCCACCCACATGACACCCTACCCACATGACACCCCCATCACGCCCACCATGACACCCCCCACATTACACCCCACCCACATGACACCCCCACATGACACCCCACCCACAAGACACCCCACCCACATGACACCCCACCCACATGACACCACACCGACATGACACCACACCCACATGACACCCCACCCACATGACACCCCCACATGACACCCTACCCACATGACACCCCATCACACCCACCATAACACCCCCCACATTACACCCCACCCACATGACACCCCCACATGACACCCTACCCACATGACACCCCCATCACACCCACATGACACCCCCACATTACACCCCACCCACAAGACACCCCACCCACAAAACACCCCACCCACATGACACCCCCACATGACACCCCACCCACAAGACACCCCACCCACAAAACACCCCACCCACATGACACCACACCCACATGACACCCCCATATGATACCCCACCCACATGACACCCCACCCACAAGACACCCCCCATCACACCCCCACATGACGCCCCACATGACACCACACCCACATGACACCCCACCCACATGACACCCCCACATGACACCCTACCCACATGACACCCCCATCACACCCACCATGACACCCCCCACATTACACCCCACCCACATGACACCCCCACATGACACCCCACCCACAAGACACCCCACCCACATGACACCCCACCCACATGACACCACACCGACATGACACCACACCCACATAACACCCCACCCACATGACACCCCCACATGACACCCTACCCACATGACACCCCCATCACACACACCATGACACCCCCCACAAAACCCCTCACCCACATGACACCACACCCACATGACACCACACCCAAATGACACCCCACCCACATGACACCCCCACATGACACCCTACCCACATGACACCCCCATCACACCCACCATGACACCCCCCACATTACACCCCACCCACATGACACCCCCACATGACACCCTACCCACATGACACCCCCATCACACCCACATAACACCCCCACATGACACCCCACCCACAAGACACCCCACCCACAAAACACCCCACCCACATGACACCCCACCCACAAGACACCCCACCCACAAAACACCCCACCCACATGACACCACACCCACATGACACCCCCATATGATACCCCACCCACATGACACCCCACCCACAAGACACCCCCCATCACACCCCCACATGACGCCCCACATGACACCCACCCACATGACACACAAGACACCCCACCCACAAGACACCACAATGACACCCCCACATGACACCCCACCCTCATGACACACAAGACACCCCAACCACAAGACACCCCCATCACACCCCCATCACACCCCCACATGACACCCCACCCACATGACACCCCACCCACAAGACACCGTGTACTCACAGGCAGGATTGCACCTCCATCTCACACTGGTTGATGTAGGTGTGTCCGTCACTGGCGCACACAGGTGAGTAGACGCGTGGACACACGGCAGGACACGGCTGTGTCGTCTGTGCCAGGAGCAGGGCCAGACCTGTCGGTGGAGGGGAGGTGGGGGAGGTGGGGGAGGGGAGGTGTGTCGCATCAGATATAAAACTTCTTAAAACAGTGGACAGACAGCTGACCAGTGGTCAGTCGTTTGACCAGAGGTTAGCTGACCAGTGGTCAGACGTTTGACCAGAGGTTAGCTGACCAGTGGTCAGACGTTTGACCAGAGGTTAGCTGACCAGTGGTCAGACGTTTGACCAGAGGTTAGCTGACCAGTGGTCAGACGTTTGACCAGAGGTTAGCTGACCAGTGGTCAGACGTTTGACCAGAGGTTAGCTGACCAGTGGTCAGACGTTTGACCAGAGGTTAGCTGACCAGTGGTCAGACAGCCACCAGTGGTCTAGTGCCCAGTGTCAGGTAACTTACCAATGGCCAACAGGAAAACGATAGCGACCAATCTAAAGCTGGACATCTTGCGTGTAGACTAATGTAGACTAGCTCCACTCGACAGATCCTAATCTTATACCACGTGGTTAGTTACGTCACAATCCAGTGAGGGGGGTGGGGGGTAGTCCTTCAATTGTTTTTATGTCAAGGACAGGATAATCTCACATTGAAAAAAAAAATGGCCAGTATGGGGATCGAACCCACGACATTCGCGTTATTAGCACGACGCTCTAACCAACTGAGCTAACCGGCCTATATTAACTGTGAGAACCAGAAACAACGTAAATTACATATGTCTTGTGTATTGATCTAGATTTTTGTGTGAAGTAGCGTTGGCTTAAATTATACATCTTTAAATAGAACAACTGTCGGGCGTTCAAGCATTTTGGCAAGTGTTTCGGTGTAAGTCTTGTTGGTAGGTCTATCTGTTGGTAGGTTTATCTGTTGGTAGGTCTATCTGTTGGTAGGTCTATCTGTTGGTAGGTCTATTTGTTGGTAGGTCTATCTGTTGGTAGGTCTATCTGTTGGTAGGTCTATCTGTTGGTAGGTCTATCTGTTGGTAGGTCTATCTGTTGGTAGGTCTATCTGTTGGTAGGTCTATCTGTAGGTAGGTCTATCTGTTGGTAGGTCTATCTGTTGGTAGGTCTATCTGTTGGTAGGTCTATCTGTTGGTAGGTCTATCTGTTGGTAGGTCTATCTGTTGGTAGGTCTATCTGTAGGTAGGTCTATCTGTTGGTAGGTCTATCTGTTGGTAGGTCTATCTGTTGGTAGGTCTATCTGTTGGTAGGTCTATCTGTTGGTAGGTCTATCTGTAGGTAGGTCTATCTGTTGGTAGGTCTATCTGTTGGTAGCCCTGGGACGGGATAAGGGGGGGGGGGATGTGGGCAGATTTGCGTCATTGTTACAGAGGGCAGGTAATTTTAGCACGAACGATAACTCATGTTTTAATTTAATTATCAAAATAAACAGGTCATCTCCCCTTGTATGTGAAATCTAATTTTTGTGGGTCTAGTGTGAGTACAATAGGGCGATCATCGCTTCATTTCTCTTTACACATGGCTTTCTCTTTAAATGGTGCATACTACACACGTACAACATATCTGCAGACATGAAAGACATACAACACATACGCTGCATTTTTACTTTTTCTTATACGAAGTTTAAGGTACATATTATATGTGCGAAATCGATATTTTTACAAACCTTTTACATCTTCGTGGGTCTGAAAACCGCAGTCTTGTCTGTATGTATGTAAGCTACATGGTAACTTGACGACAAAAATGTAATATGTAATTATTAGATCCAACATGTAAGTATTAGATCCAATATGTAGCTTTAAAAACTTTGGAGCGATTTCTTGTAACCGGAACTCTATTTCCAATTTCTTAAACACCTTTAGAATTAGATAATCTCATAAAGCAGCATAATCTGTGAACTTTTGCCTGTACGTGATTTTTCAACAACAACAACAACAAAAGGGAGGGGGGGTTGTCAGAAACATAGCTGCCTTCCTCTCCAAGCCCCACCCCAATCTGTGACGTCAGAATATACAAGAAAGTTTAGGGGAGCTCACTCCCGCAAGAAAGTTTAGGGGAGCTCACTCCCGCAAGAAAGTTTAGGGGAGCTCACTCCCGCTTTATTTTTTTGAAATAATAAATTGATATACTTGTGAGCTACCAGTCAAAATTATAATAACAAGAAGATAGAAAGTTCTAGAACATACGGTGCCAATGTTCATTTTTATAAAACATGGTTTAGGGAAACAATGGTTAGCCCACCCCCTACCCCTAGCTTTGGTTCAAACCACGACCCCCCCCCACCCCCACCCCCGCCCTAGTACAGCCTGGCATTAGCATACAGGTCATAGTGACCGCTGTCGATGACATCCACTGACGTCATCCAGCCCAAGCCGTCATCTACTTCGTCCTCGCTACACCCGCCTGACCTTGACACGATGACCTTCTCCTCTGACCTCGACCCAGTTGACCTCGACCCAGTGACCTTCACATACGGCCAGGTGTTGACATCGTGGCAACTCTTAAGTTTTGATCTTGACCTTCTGAGAATGTCCCCCAGCTTCAGATCGCTGGCCCACGTGACGTACTTGCTCGTGTGACCTACATTTGATGGTGGGACCTGACCACCGAGCGGCTGACCTAATCTTTGCCTCCCAACCTCCTCAGAGATCGACCAAGTTCTATTGATCTCAGTTGATCGATCTCTGAGAATCGATTGATTAGATAACAAGCGTTTATAACCAGCATGAGCCAGGCTGTCTTTGTATTGATTGGTCTCGCCTGCAGACAGGCAGTGACTGTCTCGTTCCCTGTCTGCAGACAGGCAGTTACTGTCTGGTTCCCTGTCTGCAGACAGGCAGTGACTGTCTCGTTCCCTGTCTGCAGGCTGGCAGTGACTGCCTGGTTCCCTGTCTGCAGGCAGGCAGTGACTGCCTGGTTCCCTGTCTGCAGGCAGGCAGTGACTGCCTGGTTCCCTGTCTGCAGGCTGGCAGTGACTGCCTGGTTCCCTGTCTGCAGGCTGGCAGTGACTGCCTGGTTCCCTGTCTGCAGGCAGGCAGTGACTGCCTGGTTCCCTGTCTGCAGGCAGGCAGTGACTGCCTGGTTCCCTGTCTGCAGGCTGGCAGTGACTGCCTGGTTCCCTGTCTGCAGGCAGGCAGTGACTGCCTAGTTCCCTGTCTGCAGGCTGGCAGTGACTGCCTAGTTCCCTGTCTGCAGGCTGGCAGTGACTGTTTGGTTCCCTGTCTGCAGGCTGGCAGTGACTGTCTGGTTCCCTGTCTGCAGGCTGGCAGTGACTGCCTGGTTCCCTGTCTGCAGGCTGGCAGTGACTGTTTGGTTCCCTGTCTGCAGGCTGGCAGTGACTGTTTGGTTCCCTGTCTGCAGGCTGGCAGTGACTGTCTGGTTCCCTGTCTGCAGGCTGGCAGTGACTGCCTAGTTCCCTGTCTGCAGGCTGGCAGTGACTGTTTGGTTCCCTGTCTGCAGGCTGGCAGTGACTGTCTGGTTCCCTGTCTGCAGGCTGGCAGTGACTGTCAGGTTCCCGATGTCTCCTGACTGTCGGCAGGATCTGTCTGGCGATTGTCTGATGGAACTTGCACGCCTGGAGCTGATGCGAGGTCCCAGACCGCCGTGACTCCAAGCTGACTCTCTCCTTGGCCAGTGGCGTCAGGCCCTGCTGTGTCGGACTCCATCTGACGCAGCCGCAGCTCGCTGTGACGCGGTCTGGCGTCGTTCTTTGGCCTGTCACAACAGTCGTCTGAAACGTTAAAAAAGAGTGAGAACATGAGAACCGCTGCAGTGTGTCTGTCTAATCGCCACCAGTGACGCAGCTAGGGGGTGGGGACGGCGCCTGGCACCAAGGCTCGGAGATCCAATACGCTTTTTTTTAATCAACCATCGAACAATCTAACCATCGAAACATCGTACCATCCAACCATCCAACCATCCTACCATCTATTTTTATGTTTTAATTGGGCTACCACAGCTAACCTTGGATGGCAACACCCGATTGTAGGAAAAAAAGTCACAGGAAAAAAAACACAGAAAAAAAGTCACTGGAAAAAAAACACAGGAAAAAAAAACACAGAAAAAAGTCACAGGAAAGAAAGTCACAGGAAAAAAAACACAGGAAAAAAGTCACAGGAAAGAAAGTCACAGGAAAGAAAGTCACAGGAAAGAAAGTCACAGGAAAGAAAGTCACAGGAAAAAAAAACACAAGAAAAAAAAACAGAAAAAAAGTCACAGGAAAAAAAGTCAAAAATATATATTTGCATATTTGTTAATACTTTTATGTATTAAATATTTAGAGAGTGCAAATTAACTTAGGATTAATTAAATGTAATATTATGTGTGTAGGCTGTATACGCTTAGTAATTTTTATAATTCATCTAAAAATATTTAGTAGTATGTAGATTGTAATTATGTTAAACTTAAGATTAGTAGCATTTAATAGAATGCTCCAAAGTCCACGGTTTTCATCGTGTTTTTTTCCCACGTTTTCTTTAACTTGCTTTCGCGTCTGTTTGTCTTTCCATCAAATTTTACGATCGAAATTTCGGGCACTTCCCAGTTAGCTAGCGCGCTGAAATTTTCAGGGAAGCTTTGTTTCCGATGACAATACAATATTCAATTACTATTATTACTAAATTGATCCATGGAAACATTTTATTGATCATTTTAGACGCCTATTGATTTGTACAAAAAAGGGACATAACCTAGTAATTGTAATTTGATAAAAACAAGGTTCGGTACTTTCACTCTTCTGGCCTCCTACTGAATGACCAAAAAACTTTTTAGTTCAATCAGAAAACGTGGGGTTTTTTTTTTAATTGTAATAATAATTATTTTTAAATACCAACATTAAATTACCGTGAAATGGTAAGTTCATCTGACTTGTTGCCCTCAACTCATCACAACAATGCTTAGTTCAACCACCTTTACTGCCCACATTTATCACGCTCATTACATAACAAAACTTAGAATCAAAACAGAAAGCCGACAAGGTTCAAAGGCTGTCATTGACGCATAACGACAACAACACAAAATATGTTCGGACAATGCCTACTGAGGCGCAGAGGCGTAGCAACCCTTCCCGTCGCCCGGGGCGAACTTTCAATATGGCGCCCCCCCCCCCCCCGCTTATATATATATATATATATATATATATATATATATATATATATATATATATATGTGTGTGTGTGTGTGTATAATTATGTGTGTGTGATAGTGTGTTTATATATAAGCTTGTGTGTGGGTAAGAGTGTATTTGTGTGTGTAAGCGTGTGTGTAAGCATGTATGCTACAGTCCGGACAAGGTTTAATAATTACATTGTATGATTTTCATTCCTTAAAACTTTACGACAATTTAATTCCCATTAAGATGCGTTTAAATTTTTTTGCGAAAGATTAGTAATGTCAGTAAAAAAAAATAAGCCTGATCTGTGTTAGAGGGTAGTTTGTAGCTAACGCTAATATGTTTAGACCAGCCTTTTATGTTCTAGTTTTGAACGATCTCTGTTGTGATATGGTACATAGTTGGATTCGAAGTTTGTTAGAGTAAGGACACACAAGTGACATACAAGAAG